TTTTTAGGACCCTGACGTCATTAATGGACGGCCCCTAATCATACAACGGCACTTGATATCAAGTATGAGAGTAGAGACATTCTTAGAAACAAACGTATTTTCGAACGGTGTCCGGCACCGAGAGGCAAGGAACTGTGACAAATAAGCAGCCATAGTGATACGGGCACGTATATACTCGCGGTAAGTTGAGACATTGTTCGGTGTTGTTATTGAGTTACATTGAGTGAGAGATTTCAAATCGCGCGATGACATATCCCCATCGTTGCGTGCAGATCTGAAATTCAAAACATCCTAAGCACCGCCCGGGACCAAGGTGTTGCTAAAATTTTTCCACCCTGTAGAAGTGTAGAAGAACTTAAATACCCGTTCGCACCATGAGGTTTTTATAGACATGGAATTCTTTAAAAAAAAAAAAAAAAAAAAAAAAAAAAAAAAAAAAAAAAAAAAAAAATAGGATTTAATTTTGGAAGGGACAATCATTTTTCTGGAGCCACTAGATTCTCGTTGGAAGGGAGAAAGATATGCACTATCTTGGCAACACCTGATGGCACTTACGTTTGCTTTGAATTTCTTCAACTCTTATGGCAACTCACGATGTACGTGCCATTCAATAGTGGGAATAGCTCCAACCCGACCAATTAGTCGCTTGGCTGACATAAGGGCGTAACTACACACTGAGATGAGCCCGGAAAAGCATTGAAATGTATGGAAGACAGGGTTCATTGCAGAGTGTAGTTACGCACTTGTGCCAGGTAGGCGTCGAATTTACGTACTTGTTCGTAAGCCATTGTTTTCGTACCGCACTACTAACTGTATCATTGTGATGACAAATATGGTACATTTCGTCAGACCATTTGAGAAACGACCGCGAAAAAAATTCAATTCATAACAAACGACCAAGTAGGTATTGAACTGTTTTCCGTGAGACAGTGCAGTATTCGACGAATCAAGTGAATTTTGCTGGATGTCAGTGGTCGCATTCTTGGTGTGAAAGGTGCTTTGCTTCCGAGCTCGAGCAGTCAATCAAAAAGCTTACTGCACACTTAAGTCGAGATTTCGACGAAAGGTAGCGACGTGTGCAACGAGTCAATTATTGAATCGTTATCGAATGAACTTTATCGATATGCAGCATTGTGAATATAGGGAGTTATCGATCAAACTAATTCGATAGCGATTCAACAATCGACAGGAGACGCTTAGACTCAGATTTCTCGAATTTTGAGCTTCACTCGGACTGTCATCGAAAGTTGAGTTCCATTCACATTACCCAGACCAATTAAGGTTTGACTGTCTAGGAAGCGAACTCAGATACGTTTTTAAAACGTCTGGATTTAGAAGGCTTAGGGGCCACAATTAAAGTCACCTCGCTATTTTATTAATTGGATTACCTACATTAGCAAAAAGGAACCAGCGCGATTACAGTGTTGTAAAAATGTTGCTTCTTCATAATTATCTAAATAATTTCCTAGAATAGCAAATCGTTTTTGCTTACCACCAAAAAATTGTTAATTGTTAAGGAAAATAATTGTGTAGATTTTAACAC